TGGGTCATTTGACAGCGAAATCGCTACCGAACGACCTTCAGACCTTCCTTTTCAGACGGCTTGGCTGTAGCTCTTGGGCTTGGCTGTAGCAGCGTCCGAGGCGGCTGTGCGGAGGTCCTGCAGCGCAAGACCTTCGCACAGATCTGCGAGGCACCGCTGACGGACGCGGACGCGAAGCTGGCGCAATCGCTGAGTGAGGAGGACCTGAAGAAGGTGGTGGAGAAGGCGAGCATTGGCAAAGACTCTAATGTTAGCCACTCATATTTCATCAATGATTGTGGGCACCAGCCTTGAGGGGAGCCTTTTTTGACAACGCCTTGAGGTCATTAGCTTAAATGGTCACCAGCTGTACATCGCTGCTGTCGAGACAGCAGCACTGCTGAACCCAAAAGCGGTCGAACTTCGAACTCGTCCAAGCGAAAGGTCCGGCGACTCGTCTGTTGCCTTGTGCGCTCCACTGCCTCGTTGTGGGCGACCGCAGAGTAAGCTGACAGCGTCGCGAAGATCCAAACTGAAGGAGTTGCGAAGCTTTCTGAAGAGCTTCTCACTCAAGAAGAAGAGGTGCTTCTTCTGACAGGTGTGACATCTTTTTGAAGACGTGGGAGGATCTATGAGGATCTGTGCTGTTGCACACAGGAAAAGTACAATTCTTGGGTAAGAAGACCAAAGGACCTCTAGATCGGGCCGAAGCCAGCCTCGAAGCCTTGGTTTTTGTGGCCGACAGCCATGTGAGTCCCCTGTCGAGGCAATTGAGAAGAACTTGCAAAGCGCCGAAAAGACTGCGGCATTGATGTCGCTTCAGGCCAGGTTTTTTTTTGGGTCGTTGAAAGATCTGGCCGCGGTGCCGCGGTGACTATCCATGGTAGGTTGACCTAGAATTGGTGGTGGTTTATTCCGTCGCTGCAGTACAATTACTTCGGGATGTGACTCAACTGAGGTTGCCCAGGCGAACATTTTCTATTTTTTTGAGGTGAAAGGTCCTTTGGAGGGTCCTTTTAATTGTTTTTTCCTTCTTCAGTTGGATCGTCATGGGGTTGTTTGCTTGAGGAAGATTCTTCCGGTCTCGATGCTTGCTCGCATTTTTTACCTGATCACGGGCGCGCCCTTCGCTTTGGTCATTTGCCTCCTGAGCGCCGGGACTGAGCGCTCGAAGGCGATCTTCACAGGAAGCGGGCCAGCCTGGCCGAACGAGGTGCGGGCCGAAGGACGTACGGGGTCGTTTGGGTTCGGGTCGCAAACCTGGCGAGATTGGCATTCCCCCTAAGCTAAGCCTGAGGGAGGTGTCCTACCGCTACAATTGAGGGACCTAGAGCTAGACCTAGTGATCTAGTTTGAATGGGGTCAAAAGGCACTGCCAACATCAAGATACCTGTGGTGTTCTGGTGCGGGCGACCACCGCTGTCACCACAGACAGTTCTGGCACGAAGAACGGACCATGACTCCTTTTTCGCATCGCTGCTGTTGAATTGGATTCCTCGCTGCGACCACCGAGACCTCATCAAGACCACCCAAGTGAGGTTTTCGTCAAGAACTTGTTGGTACCAAGAATGCAACCTTCAGTACGAGATGGCATTAAAACATTTAGATCTCAAGATCGGATCGGCTTTCAAGCAGACCCGGTCGTGCTTTGGGCCGACTCGACCTGACGTCGGTCAACCGATGTGAGGTCAGGCCTCGGATCGAATCGGATGTGCCCCCGGCAACCGACTGGGCCTGTGGCCACACAGGCCTGCTACGTTTTGCCCGGTCATGGTGCGACAGGCAGTGCTGCTGGCGTGGGTGGAGAAGGACATTTGTACATGGGGAGAAATGGGAAGATGGGGAGAGAGTTTCTGCAAAGACAAGGAGATCACGAGGAGGATGATGAACAATTCTTAGATAACAAAATTAACAAACAACTCCAGGTTTGTTTAAGTTTCTTTTCTTCCAGGTTTTGGGGTGGAGGTTGGAGGGTAGGTTGTGAGTGGCAAACCGTCAGTGTTTGTTCGTCTTCAGTGTCACGATTGATTCTGCATGGTCACTGTTCACATTTGTTCACTTTGGCTGCAGGCAGCCAGCCGGACAACCCGGACGTCTTCCACAATACGGGCTTGAGCTGGGTTGGGGTGGATGAGGCCTTCCGCTTGGGGCCTGCATGGTGACGGCTCCAACGCAGCCCGGAGCTGCGGTACGGTCCACGGAGCGCGAACCTGCCGATGCGCAGGTTCCGACTGAGGATGTGCATACATGGAGTGGAAAACGGATGAGAGTGCTGCACATGCTCCTGGATTTGTGGGGCCAGAAATAGACTCCCCCAAATGCTCGAAACATTTCATTCCATGTCATGCGCAAGCATGAAGGGCAGCCAGCAAATTGCTAAGATGGTGGATGTTTCATGCATCAGCAGCTTGGCTCGGTGTATTGTTTGAGAGAAAGCAGGATGAGAACCTTATCATCCAAAGATGTGGGTGCCAATTGGCCGTCTCCAGGTGTTTACTGACTTTCGTGTAGTGAACACTTCTGACAGACTTGGTGCCAGGATCAATCACTTTCGTCAAAACTTCTGGTTCCACTCCTTTTCCAATTCCGTGTTCGGCTGTGTTCGTCCTCGTTGGATCTCCGCAGCATGCTGCAGCAGCTGCGCTGCTGGGTGATGCAAGCGTTCTTTGCGATGGTGCAGCACTGCGAAGGCCGTCGTCTCTTTCGGAGGGCGGAGGAGCCTCGCGTCGTCTGTTTCGGGGAAAAGTTGCTTGACTTTTCCCTTCTCAACCAGGCAAAAGGCCCGATCCTCGATGCGAGTGGTCCCAGGAAGCCCGATCATCGGAGAGGCCCCCAAAAGGACCAGTGGTTGTTTCCACTCCAAACAGGTGGTTTTCCACCGCCATGATTTTCTGGTTTCCACTAGAAAGAGTGGTTGTTTCCACTACCTTGGACGAGTCGTTGCGAAGGTGGTTTTTCCACCGCCATGATTGGGAGCGTCGTTGGTTTCTTTCGAGAGGATCTCACCACGTCACCTGGGCGGGTCAGGCTGTCGCTCCGGGTTGTCTGCCACGAGCGCAGAACTACGGCGCCAGATGCCCTTCTTCGATCGACCAAAACAGGGATCACAGGTCTTCCGAACGCTTCGCTCAGCAAGGTCTTTTGGGGGTCTTTTGGATCTCAAAATGTATTTGATCTCAAACCTGCTCCAGGATCATGATGTACCCTCTTGTTCTCAAAGGACTCCAAAAGCGCACAAGATGCAACGAAAAATTGGGGTGTATGAATCATTGGGACATTCTTACTGTGTACCAAGACCTCAATGAAGACATGGACCAGACCTCGATCTTTAGCTTGTAGATGAAGCCGGATCACCTCCACGTGCCCGGATCACACCCGTGTGCCGTGTGCCACGTCAAGCTTGTGGCTTGTGACATGTGTCTGGTGTGGAGGTTCTCTGGCCCTATGTCTCTTGCAAAGGTCTATGAACCTCCATATTATATATATATATATACATATATATACAAATCAGTAGAGTAGACTGTTGGTTCATTCATTTCCAACAGTTTAATTAGTCTAATTTGGATCGTGACACCTCTTCAAATGGGGAGGTTTTGTTCATCAACGACTCCAAGACTCGTGGGGGAAGCGCTCGTTCGCGTGAGTGAGAGGTGAGCGAGTGAAAACAACAACACCAAGGGGAAGGGGGGTCTACGCTGGTAAGCCGCTCTCCCGGCAAGTGTATACGAGAAAAAACCACTCAAGTGGAGACCAACACTCAGATCCGGGGGATCCAACTTGATGGGTTCTTGGTGAGGCGAAGCGTCAGAGACGCTTCACAGATGAAAGGCATGGTTTCCGGGGGCTCCGCACCAAAGAAAGGGGAGAGGGACGAAAAATATGAATCCAAAACCCGGCTCGTAAGAACCCAGGGCCGACTCCAGGGGGCTCAGAGTTGGCATGAACCGACATCACGACATGTTTTGATATCAAAAAGTATGCTAAGAGAACACCGAACCTTCCTATTCTTTTGAAGCAAAGCCCGGGGACTTTCGTCCCCTTTCTGGCCGCGTTTTCCGGCGCAGGCCCCTATGGCCGCCGCATGGCGCGCTCGGCCGCGCAGCTCGCGGCGACAGATCTGGATGGGGAGAGGACCGCGCGGCCGACCGCGCGGTGTTCTGCGGTGTTCTGCGGCTCGCCGCCGGGCCGAAGAAGATCGGGGCGTGGTGAGGACTTCCGGCTGAAGAGGACAGCTTGGATGGAATGGTGAGGAGGTTGGCCAGATCCAACTGGAATGTTCTTTTCATCAGTTTCTGGTCGTTCTGGACCAGGAACATGTGGTACTTATAGTTTTTGAGATGACACTTTTCCGAGATCCGATTCGGCTGGGAGAGTCGCGGAGACCCCATTTAGCAAGGTGTGTCAATATAGTCGTTTATCTATGTTGGTAGTGCCTGGAGGTCCAATTACGCAAGCAGTGAACACACAAACCTGGCCCCCCCCCCATCCAACATCCCCAGTCCAGGTAGTTCAACGTTCTTGGGCGTATCACTTGAATAGTTTGTCTCTCAATTGCTGAGCCAGCTTGCTGGGGGTTGAGTTTTTTTCCCGTTTTCCGTGGTTTGAGGCGTGAACGTTCATTGGATGGGGGCGAGGCTCTTTTCTGTGCCAGACACATGGTGAAGCAACACGTGTGAAAGCTCGGCATTCTTTCGAAAGCTCTTTCTAGTGGGATCGCTCATCGAAAGATCACATGACCAGGGGTATTGCGTGGATGTCTTCTAGTATGAGACTTCTCAAAAACAACACAAGGAAAAGAGACGAGTCTCTGACTGAGATCCAAGTGTATTGCCCAGTTCTCGAATAAGCATCATCAGCGGCTACTTACAATATCTACTTCCCTGCACGTGGCCAAAACAAATCTTAAAACCCTTTCGCCTCCAACACATTCCGTCCACATCCATTTTTGCGTCGTCGTCTTCGGCCAGACCACACGAGACGCGCGAAAACGAGTGCCGCGCGGGCCGCGCACTAGCGCGCACGTCACTCACACCGAGTGCCGCGTGGGCCTCTCGAAGCTCGAGGTCCAAAGTTCGACTCTGGAGGACGATGAAGGACGGGAAGACGAAGCCGGACAGTGTTGAAGATCCAGGTTTCCGTCGAGGACCATTTCTCCCACGTCCCGGTGTTCACCCGGACGTTGAGGACCGAAGAGGACCGCAGAGGACCAGAAGAAAGCCGGCGTCCAACGACTTAGACGACGCGTCGCCGCCGGCGGACTCCCCCGTTCATCGGATCAACCGGTGGTGAGACCGGTGGTCCCGGGTCCCGACGCCTCGTCCGTGGACACATCGGATGGGATGGACGGCCAAGGACTCAATCGATGGTTGGACCAGCGGATGCCCAGAGGACATCGCCATACAGCGAGTTTCTGGGCATCCGCTGGTCCAACCCTCTTGAAAGGATATTTCACGCTGACCAAGAGAAGATGTGGGGGGATGGCACATGATAGCGGCCGTCCCTTTGGTCCCTTCGGTGCCTTTCTCACTGAGGGAAGGCGGCCGACATGTGGGGGTCATGTGGGTTGGCGTTCGTGTTCATTTCTGGCCAGCTCATCCGGGGGACTATTGGGTTGACAAGGGGGTAGTCACAGGATGGCCCTGGAATAACAGTGACTGATCTGAAGTCGGCCGTTTGCCGCCAGAAGAGCGAGGTGGCACAGGCTAATCCAAAGTCTGCTGGTGCATTACTGAGGGACCCACCAGGCGCACTCTGGCACACCCTAGAAAATTCCCAAAGACGCTGTCTGGTCACTAATATTTTTTTCTAGCCCCACAATTCGAGAAATTATTCTAGGGGGGTCCCAGTTCACAACAACCCCTTTGAATAATTAGGACAACCCTCGGAATAATATGGAATCATCACACCTGCCACACACCTGCTACTGGTAGTTGGTTGCAGCACTGTTTCACCTGTTTGCAGTTCGACTAAAGCCTGTTGAACTAGTGGCACCTATTAGCCATGAGATAGGTATTTCCCCCAATGAAGAATTTTGCCTGGTAATGATCTGCCAGCCCAACATGCCACCACTGGTCAAAGTATTCTAGGGGTGGTCCCAGTTCACGCAGACCCGTGGAATAATTACACCTGCTATAGAAGCTAGTAGAAAGTACTGGCCATATGAAGCTTTTGTATGTTTCCTAGGGGGGGTTCCGCACAGGACCTTGATGCGGATGAGATCTCCTACAGATCTCTAATTCAACCAGTTGATCGAAATGAGACTTTTTACAGGTCTACAGACAGTGCCGAGATTTGATGATAAAGACAGTTAGAGTCAGATTGCTTGTGCTGTGTGAGCGCTGTCTTGATATGTTTTTGATATGAAGATGTAGAGATAACCGAAAAAATATTCGAGCAACTCAACCAGTTCCCAGAATGACTTTTTGGAACCAACTAAAAGGGGGTCAGAATCATTTATCATAGTCTAATCCTAGGGTCTGACCGGCAGGGGCGTCGTCTGGATTCCATCCCCTATGAGAAATCGTCTTCCGATGTCATCCTGCTCAGCCGAACTTCTCGTTTGCCGTTCATCACCGAGTTGGCGACCGGTCACGCATGGCACAGGGCGCACAACGGGTGGCCTCACTACGTCTGTCGACGCACCGGTCTCCTTGGGGCGTCGTGCACCGCGCACCGCGCGCGTCGCGCGAGCGCGCAGCTCGTCGCGCAGGAGGATTTAGCGCCCTACGAGCTGCTGAACCGTGGCTTCGGCGGCGCGCGCTCTTGCGATCTGGTCGCGGCGATGGAGCCACTGGTGCTGCGCCACCGGCCGCCAGCGGTGCCATGGAGGAAGCGGGTACTGCGGGTGCGGGTAGTGTGTTGATTTGGGTTTCGATTCAATCAGGGAGACTTGAGACCTTCTGCGTTTCGTGAGTCCGTTTGGGTCTTCTCAGGTGTTTTGTGAGTCCATTTGGGTCTTCTCATGTCTTTCTTTTTTCCGGGGTCTCCCTATTCTAATAGATACCCATTGGAGGCATATTGGACCCGAAGCCGCTCCACGTCATGATTTCTTTCTCCGCGAAGTCGATGTAGAAACGGCCAGTGAGAAGGGGTGGAGATTGGGCCGGCCTGGTGGAACAGTGCGGTGAACACCTTGGTGGTGGTCCAAGTGGTAAAATATCGTCCACCTGCTTGTAAAGGAACATGGTCTAGCATGGTCTGCTTTCATAGTCAAAAGAAGTCATAGGAAAAGAGTGTATAGAAAACCCTTAGTCAAAAGAGTCATAGTCATAGTCCCTTAGTCAAAGTCATAGTGGTTGTGACCTGGGACATCCTGGGACCTGGAGACGAACTGCGAAGCACCGGACCAACCGCGTTGGGACTCCTTGGGTTGAAGCACCGGGGGTCGCGTCGCGTCGCACGGCACTCGGTCATCCGTCCGAATCACCGACTGGTGCATGAACTCCACCGGGGGGAATTCTGACCAAACAACCCAAGATGTGGCTTGTCATAGTCGATCTAAATCATTCCAAAAGTCCCAGAATGGGTTTAAGGGAACATCTAGAGGAATTCTGTAGTTTTGGTGGTGAAACACAAGGGTTTCTTTTAGATTTTCTTCAAACTTAAACACATGTTTTGAAAAAGGTTCCAAATCGTGACCAATGCGATCTAATCTGAAACATCGACCTGCATTCACAGCAACAAAGCTGGTGCTCCCTTTCAAGAACGCCTCTTTTTAGGCCCTCGACTTGAACTTGAATCTGTGAATTTATCTTTTGGTTCACCCACCCCGAACCCACCCCACCCCGAACCCACCCCGAACCCACCCCCAGCCCGCTCATTCAGGTCGTCTACTATTGTGGCATCAACGACCTCCACTTCGGCGCTCAGGCGGAGGTGCCGGCACAGGGTCTTCGGCTCTTCGCCACGAGGCTCCGAGACGCCTTGCCGGAGACGCGGCTGCTGGTGCTCGCCATGTGCCTGGGACGGGAGAAACCGGTCGACGGAAGGGGAGACGGGGTGGCGGGAGATGGCTGGGTGCTGGGCTGGGGAGGTGTGGTTGGGCGTGGTTGGGAGGTGAAGGAAGGATTCGGACAGTGGAGAACACCCAGGTTTTCATGACGTTCCGAGATGTTCGGATCCCCGGGGGAGTGGAGGAACTCCAGTTGTGTCGGATCTCCCATTTCGCCGTCGGCGGCCGGCCGTTCGGCCGGGCTTTCCCGACCGAGCCCGTCCGCTGAGTCAGAAAGTGAAGGTGATTCTCCCAGGCACATGGAGTTGGATGGTCACCATCCAACTATATATCCGACGAGTCAGCAGTGGAGTTGGATGGTTTTTTCCTCGTCCCCTCCAGTGAGGATGGGATGTGACTGGGGCACCATGTGATGGGACGTGACTTGTTTTCATTTTCATCAAGTTCTGGTGTCAATGTCCAGGTGCTACGTAGCACCTGGTGTCATCTTGAAATGGTAAACCATTTAACTCAATCTCTTTTGGAGCTTTTCGGAAAGGGGAATGGTTTGAAGGTTGGAAGGGTGGATTCAGGGTTCAGAGGTCAGAGGTACAGATCAAGTGTTTGAGGTCTTTATAAACCGTGGTCCACCGCATCACCATATGTAAATACGTAGAAAAAGATGAAACAAGATGAACAGATAATCATATATCAGCTTTAATTACGCAGGGCAAGTGTCTTCGAACTCTTGAACATGGACTTTAAGCATACCGACATGACTGACATGACTCACATCCTAGCTTTTTTTGGATTTCCGGCCATTGATTGCTGCTTGACAACGCTTTGAGCTATATCTACTGTAGTTTCCGATCCCGTTGGTGGACGCGATGTCTGACCAAACGACACTTCACCGAGGAACCTCTCACCGCTACACTTCGCACTGGGGCTCGTGGACAAGATCCGGCGCGGCAACCAACTAATGAAGGACCGGAGGTGAAGAAGTGCTCGCTCTCTCTCCTCTCTGGCTCTGGCTCTGGCTCTGGCTCTGGCTCTGGCTCTGTCTCTCTCTCTGTCTCTCTCTGTCTGTCTGGGGTGTGGTCTTACGGTAAAGTTGCAGGAGTCCTTCCTTCAAATTCTTCGTTTGTTTGTTTGATTAGTAGTGATCTCCGCAGCAAGGCCCTTGACAAAGTGAGCCCTTCTTGCAGCACCGCACCCGAAGCCTGACGCTTTTCTCTCCATGACGACGTTCTTTTTTCTTTCACCCAAACTCCAAGAGTGCGTTTTTCCATCGATGGAGCCACCATGGCTGCCATGAGTGGACCCCATCCACCGACTTCACCCCCCCCCGGCCGTGGCAGGGAATCATTGGTATCATGCGACCCGCGCCCTCCTCTCACTCTTCTGTACCAACAGTCACAAAGGGATGGTTTTTAGTCCCATCCAGTGAGTGGATAATGGGCACCCCGACCCTCCAATAGGCACCCCTTTGTGACTGCTGGTATATAATCCTTTTTCCACTCAGACTTACATCATCGCACATGGTGCGTACCAAGCGTTCCGGCCCGCGCGCAAAGCAAGTGGTGAGTCTGGAGCAATCTTATATAACATATACATACATATACTATACCACGGGTGTATGAAAAACAAAATGAACACTATAGTTTTTCCAAATCATAACACTTGGGTGGAGCTTGACTCCTGGATTTGATCTCCCCCTTGAATTCCATTTTTTAAAATGGTTTATTAAAGAAAAGTATTCACGGGTACATTCATAGGGTCACATGATACTTATTCTTCCCTCGTACCCCCCCAATTCGGCCTCCGTGCGCCCGGACGAGACCTTCGCTCGGTCTCCTCTCAGGAGCTCGCCGACGAGCTGGGCTTTCAATTTGTGGACCTCTTCGCACAGGAGAGGTTTTCCGGAACGGTTTTGGGCTCGTGTGAAGCGACTGAGCATTTTCTTTTGGTTCTCTTTGCCCCTTGCGGGTGAAGTTTTTGGGAAGTACCGAAGAAAGGTAGAGGAAAGGTTTCCGTTTTTCCAGTTTTACAGGGATATCAAGCTTTACAGTTAGTTGATAGTTGCGTCGGGCCATCTTCCATTACCCTATTTATGTATTTGTATTCGTGACTATTCTCGGGTAGACAGAAATAGAAAAACAACACGGAACACCAGCCAGAAAGTATATATATATATACTGTAGCCGCTAAAAATGGGTTGTCAATTCTGGAAAGCTTCCTCAGTCGAGAAGGGTTCATGAGTTCAACACATGTTCTGCCATGGAATTCCATGAGAATTACGAGGTCATTGCCATGTTCTGCCATGTTCTTCCACCGTTTGGAGAATTACCGGGGTAATTACCACTGCGCTTTACCTTCCCGTGATGCTTTCGGATGACCCATCTCCAAAAACTCCGTTGCTGACCGTTTTTGCAGGAGCCTCGCTTTGCCTGCGACACACAGCTGTACTGCTGGGATTTGCTCCATTTGACTCCTGCGGGCTATCAGCTCTTAGCCGAGCTTCTTAAGCCACACCTAGCGGTGCTGCTGGGAGAAAACAGAGCTGGTGCGGCTGTGGTGTCCTTCGGTGCAGCTGTGGTGTCGTCCTTCGGCACCGGGATGGACCGAGCTGGGATCCGCAGACGTTCGGACACCACGGGCGCACTGAGGCAAGCTTGGATACCACCGGGGAGCCCTACACGTGCGGAGCTTGGGCGAGCCATGCGGCAGAGATGTATAGGAAAGTGGTAGAAGGGGGGTCCTTCCGACTTGAGTGGTTGGGAAGTAGCACCTCTGCGTGGAATCCGAGGACCGAATCCTCACCGAACAACCCAACCCCTCACCCTTTTTCGGTGAACCCACACTTTTTGGGCCAATCGATCCCCTTTGGGCGGCCAAAAGCCTCGATCTCTCCACCAACTGTTAAGAAAGACCCCGGTTTGGGGTGTTTTGGGCGTGAATGGACGTGTGTGTGGAGCAAAGAGGAGTCGTTCGGAGAATGTGGGAAGAGGGTGCCTTTTGGTCGTTTGTTTGGAAGAACCTGCGTCATGTATAGACACTGGATTCATCTGGAACGGCCCCATCATTGGAACCCTCCCAAAAAGTTTGCTGGGACTGGTCCGGGCACTGGACCCACATGTTTCGCCCAAAGAGCTCGAGAGGACACATCCGCTTCGGATGCGGCTCTATGCGCACGCTGAAAAACCGCAGTGCCGCCGTGCTTACCGGTGGCGCCGCGGTGGTGCCGGTGGCTGAGGCATTTGTTGATCTACGCGGGCAATCAGATCGGTCTCTCAGCTTTTCCCCAGTTCATCCCGCTCGAGGAGACCGGGAGACGGGGTCGGGGTCGTTGGTCCAAAACCGGGTCGTCCAAGGTTCCTTTTTTCGGAGGATCTGCGGACTGCGGTATTGGGTCCCGGTCCTTTTTGGGTCCTTGGGAACCTTTTGGGGAGGTATTTGGTATATTGCACGATCCTCTACGAAAGAAACAGGCCTTCGGACCTGCACCACATCGGCTGGCCGAGCGTTTTTTCGCAGTTCGTGAAAAGCGTGGCCACCTCCAGACGTCGACCGGATTCGGGTCCGCCCGCCATTTCCAGCTCCACGCTGACGGAACAAAGGTCACTGCATGGACCGCTTCTTTCTGCGTGGACCGCTCGCTCCCGGTCCGGGAGTCGGACATCTGCGAGGATGGCAAGGTCACCTGCCAGACGGACAGCTTTTGGCCCTGCCAACGGTCGCAGGTCTTGAAAGATGAGGAGTGCCCGACCGATCGGGATTGGGAGATATTGGGAGTCAGGCGTTGGGCAGGTGGTTTTTTGGGGGGCAGGACGAAGATGTTTTGGGGGATCGATGTTTGGGGCGATGGTCCTCAGACCCGAGATCCTAGACTCTACTAGACCCTAGGGCGATGACCTGAGGATTTGGTCGGTTTTCGACTTTGAAGAGACTTCACCACACCCATCGGCCCTGCATCTTGGAATCGAAACCGAGAGGCCCGTGAACTGGATGCTCCGCCCGAGGCAGGCAGTGGCAGGCAGTGGCAGGCGGAAGCATGAGCCCTCCACGTTTGGAACCAAGTGCTCGACGGGACGGTTTTCCGACGCAGGAGGATCTGCCTTTGGGTTGCCAAGCCCTCCGCTGCACAGAAGAGGACCATCTGGGAACTCACGGCATGGAACAGGAGACACCGAAATGGAAACCCCAAGGGAACACGAACATGTCAATGGGCATGGTTTCTCTCAACGGACGTTCCAGGTGCTGGAGATCTCACACGGAAAATCAATTCTACTAGCTGGGTCCTGCCACTCAGATCGCCTCCATTTGCCTCCTACAGAGCGGCTGAACGTTTTAAGGAGCACATGTTGGCGTTGATGTCCAAACCCGACTTAATTCATAGAAGTTCACCAAATTTAAAGGCAACCTCCCCCTTCCCTCCCCCGTTCTCAGACCTAATTTGCTTGTATCCTATAAATATTATAGATTATTCTTTTCTTCATAGAAGCTATGTGTAGTTCCAAAACAACCCATCTTCCTGCTTTGATGCTTGTCTTCGCTCTCCACCGTTTCGTTCTTTTCTTCCTCCCCCGCCCTTTTTGGTGGAGCCCAAGAGGAGTGCTGTGCCGACGCCGGCACCTGCGCGGCGTTCCTGAACTCCTCTGCGGCGGCGCTCAGACCGTCTGTCGGGTGATTGGCTGAAGGACATGGAAAAGGGGGCAGAAACTTGGACATTCTTCAGACACCTCAGAGAGACATGCAGGTCCACGCTTTCACCACGGTGAGTGATGGGTTTTGGCCTTCCTGGGGAGAGGAGTCGGTGGATGATGCTAAACCCCACCTTTTTCCCCGTCTCATCGGTGGATGATGACAGTGGGGGGGGGGAATCGCATTTGCCACTCGAAGCTTCGTGTCTGTTCTTCAAGCGGTACACGGCGGTACGCCACCCGTCTCGCAGATCGTTTGCGTGGAACAGCCGCGCCGTTGTTTTGGTCACTCTCCGCTCCAATCCCGTACCCGTGCGCACGGCATCGGACGGTGCTTGGTGTTCGGACGGTGAACACCGGTGTTTGATGCGGAAGTCGAAGATGGACGCCGTCAGAATGACGATCTGACAACGCACCAGTGGAACGTGCCAGTGGATTTCTGTCTTGAAGACCTTGCTTAGCATGGTAATTACGTTAGTTTCGGCTGGGTTCGGTTTGGGACACGGCACGTGCCGTTGGAGCGTTTGACGGGCATCCGTCCTTTTGGGCGTTCAAACAGGAAGTGCAAAGTTTGCAAAAAGATCCTACCCGCAAGACACTTGACCAAAACAAGCCATCAAAGACCTCGAACTTGTGCCTTCAACTGGTGCCTGCGAAAGGGCTGCAGCAGAAAATGCTAAGGATGCCACCAAAAGAAACTTGTTTTATCTGCATTTGTTTTGATTGCCATTGGGGATGAACAGATGATCATCAGCGGCTTTTCCAAAGTTCAGAGCATTTTGCTCTGTCAGGAGTTGTTGAACACGCTGTGCCAGGAGAAGAGCACCAGCTTTTGGGTCCTCGTAATCAATCACGTGTCTTCTTTTTCTTCTTTTCCACATCCGGAAGAAACGCCATGAGCTTCCCCCATGCCACTCGCAGTGGTCATGAGGCCAATGCCACTGGATGTGCAGAAGGTTATGTGCCTCTGCATGCTCCACCTGAGCCGCTTGGCGAGTTGTGTAACCAAACCACCTGTGATCCAAATCTACTAATCGGATCACCCGGTAGGGAGTCGGTGGGTATGTATATTCCGCAGAATGTGAACTTGAGTAGAAGATTGATAGAAGACCACATTCCCAAATCATGATGTGAATGATGTGTATCATGTCACTGTCATGTCACGAAACGACCGAGCACCGTATCAGACCGTGGGTCCGGCATCGGGTCTGAGCACCCAACAGCGTTTGGGGTTCGTTGGTGTTGGGCTTTGGCACATCGAACCAAACACTGCACATCAAGTTCGATCTTTTTCATCAAACCATTGGCAATGATTGTGGACAATCCCAAGATTCAGAAGAACCCTACCAGTTTCTTCCCGCAGCATCCGGGAGAATTCACCTAAAAACGCTTTCCCCTAGGCCTGGCCTGAAAGCGCTTGAAACCACTTTTCAGGTTCTGTGCACGACCGGTGTGCACCAGCAGCGACTGTCCGGGGTGCTCGGTTGACGATGATCGCGTGGGTGGGATGGGGGGAGACCCCCGATCGCCTTGCCCCCGATCGCCTGGGTAGACTGGTCCTCAGGTTGGTGCCTTTCCCTGGAGCATTGGATGAGACCTGATGGGGATTCAGATGATGTGATGAGAGCCATGCCTCCAAGTCGAGGCTCACGAGGTCCCACCTTTGAAGCTGAGGGGTGTTTCCAACCGCGAACAGGTCCGTATCGTGCGTACAGGGCGTACCATGGTGCGGTTCTCAAAGGAACTTGCTGGAACCCCAAAGAACCAGAAACATATGGTTGTTCCAATATGACACATGACATACCTGGACCTTCTTTCGGGGTGTCCTGTCCTGTCCGGTCCCTTAGTGGCGTAAATTAAGGCCTTCCAGCCAGGTGACCCCGACATGAAGGTGCTGGTAGGAAATGGCTGGGACTGGGGAGTTCCATCCATTTCTTTCTGGTTGGGACTGGAGTTCCAGGATTGGTGTGGATCGGGAGACCCGGCTTTCCAGACCACCCTGGCAAGAAAAATAGAACTATATATAGTTTGCTATCATTTACTGTGCTAGTTTGTGGGAGGGCTCTATTTCAAAGAGAGTGATCCACAGCAATCCACAATGTCACGAGCCGACAGTCCGACAGTTCTCCGAAAAAAAAACCGAGGCTGCCTGAGGAGCGCGGAGCCCGTGGGGAATCTGCTTCTGAGCTTCAACACTTGGGACTCCATCCAGGTGGGACTCCGCCCACCATGCTGTTTGCAAAGCGAGGTTTCAGAGAGTGGAAGCAGCATGTTTTTTGCACGAGAGGAGTAGAGGAGATTGATGAAACACATCGTTCAATCGTTCAATGTTTTTCTTTGCTGTTCACCACACCGGTTTCTACAGGTTTCACCCACAGGTTCCCGGTTTTTGTACTGTTTCACTTGATGAAAGACATTGTTTTTTCGGTTCACCACACCGGTGTCTTATCCGCCACACCGAGCGCGGTGTCCCGACCAGCTGCTGTCAGGTGTCGTGGGAGGTGCCCCAGCTGCACGACTGCGTCTTCCAAGAGTATCAGGCGGATGGAAGGGATCACTGCGGGAGATGCAGAGGCAATTTCTTTCATCTTAGATCAAAGAAATGGTTGGTGTTTAGTCGTTATTTTTTTGGGGAACACCCTTGTGTTTTCTTCGCAACAACGGCGGGACCGACTGATGTGGGCTGGTGCTGGCCCTCCCAGCGGTCCTCACCAGTGCAAAATGCCTCACACCGCTTGGGTCGAACGCAGAGGTTCAGCTGGCCCTCGAGAACGGCACGAACGTGACGAATGCCACGTGGCAGGAGTGACCGGACGGATGGAGTTCGATGGACGGATGGATGGAGGGTGGGTGGGACCTACCAGGTAGGATGACTCCATCAGGATTCTGGTCGGGACGAGGGCTCCAACCATCTAAGGCCTCTGGAAGAAACTTGCAGGCCTGGCCTGCAGGCCTGCTAATTAGGATGACCGAGCAATCCATGGGGAGTAAAAGACGCATCTCATTCTTCTAGGTTTTTTTGTGCATTTCCAGAGTTTGAAAACTTCTGGCCACTTGAACAGTATATATTGGGTCTGTCCCATTATATACCTGTAACAGTTGGCAACATGTATCGCTTTTTTAGAGCAAGGCCTCTAACCAGCATCATCCACTGTTGCTGGTAATAGGATATACCCAAATTCAAAGCATGTACGCCATCATCAACCAAGGAGCCACCAATGGGTATACCCTGCACTACTTCTAGGATTGCTTTATCCCTTAGATGGTGTAGGTCTCATGTGGATTGACCAGATTCGGACTCCAAAGAGTTGGCAGCAACCCCACGAAAACCCAAGAACCTCCACCTCAATGCCCCCGATTCGAGCTCAGCGCCTCGGCGAGCTGCAGGATGCTCAGGGCTGTCAGCTGAAAGACTCCTGCGGAGCCAGTTGTGTGGCGCGGGGGCCTATCGGGCCTGGCGGGGCCATGGGAGTGCCGTCGGGTCGGGGCTCTCTTCACCGAGAGGAAAGGATCGAAGACATCGATGATTCGAAAGCACAAACCTGGCCCAGTGGGTTTCCATCAAAGCAACTAAGACCCATTTCCTCATCTGAGGTGCTGTTTTTAGGGACCTTTATGGGGGAGGTGAAGTCTGAAAGAGATGCATTTTCCACAAGTCTTCCAGGTGCTTCCATTGACGTATGTATGCTCTTTTGGATCACCAGTGAAAAACGAGGACTCACCAACCACTGCCCAGAAAGAAGGGAATGGTTGTATGCCCATTTCGCACAAACATCATCACCTTCTCCCAGGCTTCGACGTGATTCAATTGCTTTGGGATTACATATCCCATGCCCTCGTTGTTCCTGGATCCAGAGGGCCCCCCCAAAGAGGGATTCACAGATCTGGATGATCTCCAGGATCCACCTGTCAGTGTCAGGAAGGACGCGGTGTGATGCTCTTCCCGGGACTCACATGGACTCACCAAGCGGGGCATTTTGTGAGGAAGGTGTGATGCCGTTCCATGTGGTCCGATCACGTTCCATGGAAGAAAACACCGCCTGCGCCTGCGCCTGCGCTGAGGCATGTAGTCTTCCAGGGGCCATGCCATGCACGTCACCATGTGTTTTTCTCGGAGTGTAAGATCGAATCTTTATTCCTGGGTTTGACAGTGTGGATAGCACCACCCTCAAGAGGTGGTTTCTTTTTGACCTCCCATTTTTCTGGACATCCACCGACCTGAAGAAGCTACTGCTTTCGTGACATTTCTGGATGGCCCAAGACAAGACACACCGATCAATTTCAACTAGACTTGCAATCTGAGAGACTTATAGACTAGACGAACTTTGTGAAAGCTCGCTTTCGACGTCTCAAGGTGCTTTGGAAGATTTTAGAGCCACAGAGCTTTGAGGTGCTTAGGCCTCTTGTAACATCTAGGCCTCCACTTCCTGGTGATGTTTCCATGATGGATCGGGTGAGCCCACCATCCAACTCACCACCGGTTTACTGGTGTCTTGTGGGTCCGAAGGTCTAAGCAGTCTAGGCACGAGTGCCAAGAGTGGCACTGTGGTACTTCACTGTTTTTGGGCACGTCTTTTCTCATGGGCGCCGTGGTGCCAGCTAAGATTGGGGTAGACATTGAAGTTGGAGCTTGGAGGCAAAGTACTTCCTTCCAAGTGCCCATGCAGCTACACAAGGATAAATCTGATGGAACTCTTTTGTCAAGAAAACTCATCGTAGCGTTTCGATGTTTGTTAGACAAATGGAGGTCATTCTGGAGCGGAGGCCGTGATCGAACCCTGTGACAAAGGAGAGACATCACAGATTAATGGAACTTGGATTTCTCAAGTTTTGGTAGCAGAGTTTTGTGGTACTATTTTCAGTGGCCCACACACTGGGAAAAAAGAAGAGGCCCTTGACAGCCGTTCTTTTCCGTTGCAGAGGTTTTTCTTTTTGAAAAACAAACACCGTCCGGGCAGCGACCTCACAAAATAAATGCATATTTTTCAAGTGGAGCACTTTAAGACACATTTTGAGTCTTTCTATGTATTTTGGAGACTTCCAAAAGCCCCAAGGTCAGGGGTTTGTTGAGCGATCAGTCAAAAAGGTCGTGGTTTCCCGGACGCTTCGCTGGTTGTCGTCTGGGCGGACGATCGTCCGGCCCTTCGCGCTTCGCGGGTTCTTCGCCTCGGCAGATCCTGCGGAGAGACGAAATGGACCAAGACAGCAGCAGAGGTTGAAGAACCCGAACGTTCGGCTATCCCAGTTCGGTACCCTGGTAGGGTCCTAGTTCAGGTCGCTTGACCTCTGTTTCTTTGGAGGCCCCGAAGCGACGAAGCGAATCATACCAACCCGGCCATATATATAGTGTGTTTGCATCGGCCGAGCTTTTGCGACAGGGCAAGCTTCTTGCTTCAATGATGGCGTTACCCTATGTGAAACAAGATCAAGCAATCTCAAGCAGTCAAGTGACATGTCGGTCTTGCAGTTCATGCGAAATCCTCGTTGCAAATCAGCTGCGAACGGACTTCCAAGGCATGCTACTCGCTTCCATGTGAGTTGTGGGAGTCTACAAACCCTCCCTCAGCATTGCACTTCATAACTTCTTTTCTTTTCTCAACCTGGCCCGGATTGGGCGTCGCGAAGTCTCCGCCTTGCCGTTCTGCGCCCATGACGATCTGCGTCCATGTGGTGTTGCTTTCGGGGCGTCAGGCGAGAGATGAGGTGCTGTTGGTTCCTTCACCCAGGGTGTTGAGGCTTTTGCATCTTTTACCTAGCCTGTCTTCCATTCATCTTATTTTGGAGTTTCTTTTCAACATTGTTTCCATGTTTAAATGGTGGAGTTGTCGTGTTTTTGCACCACCTTTGTTGACACCAAGAGCGGCGTGGCGAAGCTGGATTTATGGTGAATGGGTGATGGGAAACCCTTCGAGCTCCAGAAATTCCTGACTTCATTCTGAGTCTATAGGCCTTGCTGCAACACACACGGGGTAGCTTTGCCGTGCCTTTCACAGGTGGATCACGCAGGTAGATCCCTGCATAAACTTGGGCAGTGGATGACGATTGGGCATAGTGGAACGATGAACGACTGATGCGACTGCGACACCCTGTGTTCCACCAGGTCTTAAGGAAGGGGAACTAAAAGGTGTTGGAGCTTGGTGCTGGCAAGAAGCAGCCATGAAGAGGACCAGCCCCCAAATCTTTGATCAGTAAAAGAACTGGTTGAACTGGTTTTGCAGTCTCACGATTTTTCGTGCAACTATGGGCTGTTACGTCAATCATAGCTCTCCACGAAGCTCCGGCTGAGCGAAGAAGGCCGCCGCCCGACAAAGGCCTCTCTGCTGGTGCCGCCGGAGACGAGTTTGAAGGAGCTTCGGCAGCTCGCGCAGCAGCAGATGCAGGCGAACGAGGGCACGTCTTGGGCGAACCGCTTGAAGACGCGACATAGCGACGTGCGGTTGTGACGCGCTGAGTGAGGAAGGTGTGAAGGTGGGAGGGACGGAGTCGGTGAAGGTTGGGGAATGGGGCGTTCGAAAAGGGGGAAAAAGATCGGAGAAAAGGGGGTGGATGGGGCTCTTTGGGAACCTGGAGAGTGAAGGAATCATTGGGCAGGCACAAAATGCATGCTGAGAGAGAAGCTCTGGCAATTGGATGAGCTGGTGTGTGAACTGCTCACATCCAGCTCGTGGACGTTTTCCACCAACACATTACAGAACATGTCAATATAATGTGTGTTCAAATTTGGGAGACCTTTGAGGCAACGACCCCCCCTGGGCAACGACCGTGGCCGCGAGGTGGGCATTGCCTCGTTGGTGACGGCCGGGGGTCTCGTCTTGTTCGACAGCAGCGCCTTCCCCGTCGCGGAGCTCCAGGGCGAAACCCTCCAGGTGCGTCGTAGACTCGCGCGGTGCGGACATCATGTGCTGCGCAGGCTCCGCGGAGAAGATGAGGAGAGGGGAGATGGAGGGCGATCGATTTCAAAGGGGATGGAACAGCGGTGGGTTTTGGGAGTGATGGAGTGTCTGGTTTACATGTGATCTTTGGGTGAGGTTTCCAAGCGGTGATGGTGGTATCACGTGCAACAGCTCCAAACTCCGCAACTCCTGCGTTTGGTATCCTTTTTCGTCCACCGAGCCGCGGCGAGGTCGTGGCGCGGCGCGGGGCGCTCTGCTCCAATGGCTACTCCAGGGCTTTCGTGTGCTCTGGAGCGAAGGGAGGAAAAAGGGGGGTCGTCAAGTCATCGTACCTATAATAATCCCTTCCACCTAGTTAAAAACACGAGGCCCCCCCTCTTAAGAAAAACTCGGTCGCATTTTTTAATAGGTACTCGGGGCTTCTCCAGGAATCTGAGATGCTGTGATTCTGGACCCGCCTACGAACCCCCAAAAGCGCCACCTACCCATCCCTACCCACCCCCTTTCCACTCCAAAACCACATCTGCCCATTTCGCCACCTACCCACACCACCACGCCTGAGGCACTTGGGCCCCACGGGTTCCGTGCGTGCCTGGGGCGCTGCCGCCTATGGTGGTGAGCTGCCAGAGGGGCTCATCGAACAGTTGAAGGACGTCCAGCAGGCGCGGAGCCGCTTTCCGCGCTCGCTCTGTGGCGGAACAGATGTTCTCTTCTCGTCGCCTCGCGGAGCGCACGGGTGGGCGCGTACGGGTGTGGTTTGAAGGGAGGGGAGGAGAGGGAAGAGGAATGCTTGCTGATGTCATGCCAAGTCTTTCAAGATTCCAAAAGTTGGATGAATCGAGGAAGGGAGTTTTATCATGGACATCTTCATGTATCCCGCTTGGGCCCTTCCGAATTTCCCCGAAATAGGCTCCACCACGGCCAGTTCGCTGCTTTGAGGGACCAAGATGTCTATCGGACTGTCCACCCTTACATCTTCCTAGATGGGTGTGTCTTAGAATAGGCCCACAATCTCAACTAGCTTGTTTTGTGAGCAACGCTCACAATTTCAGAGGTATGGATCATGTATACAGATCGATTTGCCAATCCATTTGAGTTCGACCAGCCTTGTTTTGCACACGAAAGCTGAAAATAGCTTTTGAGTAGCAAGCACTGTGTGCCAAGCCCTGTGTACATCATAGCGTTCCCAAAAGGATCAGTGCCACCCACAGCATTTCCTTCTACCAAACGACGCAGACAAGGAGCGAACGACCGGTGACCACCAAGCAAGAACGACCAGTGACGTGCCGGTTTGCTTCGGCACTCCACCTCGTTGTTTTCACGTTTCAACGGAGCCGAAAGCGAACTGCCCGCCCAGCCCACAAAAGAACATGATTTATATAAGGATACAACTTAAAAAACACTCTTCATGGAACAATCTTATGAAGCAACCTTTAAACAAATAACAGCAACACACACACACACAAGCTCTAAAGTCTTTTTTCCGACCTTCTTAGGGTCACCTCCCTTTCGCCCGCGCGGGCGATCCCAAGACCCTGTAGACGACTCGAAGCGTTCGCCCCCGAACGCTTCTTCGATCGATCGATCGATCGAGGGGTCGAGGGCTCGGACCAGGTGCAGCATGCCTGCGCCTTCTTCCAGGCGGGCGCCTTCGCAGCCATCAAGAGCGACGGTGCCTGGGAATTGAACGTATGCGAGTGATGGGTTGGGAGTTAAGAGTCAAGAGATAAGGGGGTGTGCTTTGATTACATATGGTGTGCTTGCATGGTACAATGAAGTTCTTGAGAGAAAATCGGAGCAGCACAGATTGCCGTGATGCGCACTTAAGATTCCGCTTTTGGAGGGAAGCCAATTCGGTGTTTTTCGTTGAGTCCAAAAGACGGCACACGGCCGTGGTTCTGCGTTCCTGGCGCCTTAGGCTCGGTGGTCACTTGGGGCGAGAGCCTTGGACCGCCATGTGGTGTGGGTGTTTGGTTATGGCACGAACGGGCTGAGGACTTCTCGTCTTGCCAAGATGGCGAAGTGCGGATTTGGCCGGGTCCACCCTGGTCCGTGAACACATGTCCACCGCGGTGAAGGCCAATCCGATTGCAACCTCACCAAGCAATATGTAAGGCCAAAACAAACCAAGCTGCTTCAGGCTGTGGAAAGGGTCTAGACTCTAGACTCTAGGACCTTGAAATCATCTCCCCTCGGCCCATCAACAAGTTGTCAAACCTTCATTCTTTCCATTGATTTCCATCTTCAAACCCAGCGTTCGCAACCTTTTTGCGTTATACATGTCTCATCCTTTCTCCACTTGCCTGAGCCTACCAAAAGGAACACCCCATGACCAGTCATGACCAGTCACGCGCTCCGCTCCCAACACCGCTCCGCTCCGCTAAAGACCGGTGGTGTTCGGTCTCGCAGCTCGATGTCTGGGTCCGGACATCGGTACCAAAGCACCCATCTGTCGGTCAAACCGTTCCTTTTTCGGTGAGGAGTCAAACCGATCGCACCGTTGACGCACCGTTGACGCACCGATTCGCGAAGCGAAACGCACCGATTCGCGAAGAAAAGCACCGAATCCTCTAGAGTCAGTGGCCATGTGGATTCGTTTTCGTCAGTCGCGCCGACATCGTGGGGGTTTGACGCACGTGGATGAACAATCCAATTCGCCCAAACGAGCAACGTCACAGTTCGACCTGATCTCAGGAAGGCATTTGGGGGTGACAGTCGCCATGTTCAGGACTGCTCCGTGGTCGCGTGGTTTTCTTAGGGGTTTGATGGGGTTCGTGTGGAGGGCTAAATCCACCGGTGGTGAATCACCGCACAAGTGGGAACCCCTTGGAAACTTGACTTGGTCGAAACTTGGAAGCCAAGACCTGGCCCTTTGATGAACCAGCAGGTTTTTTCAAACAAAAGACATGCCTTTTTTTCTCCTTCTTTTTCGACGGACCTTCAAACATCCTTAAAAGCTTCCCTTTGGAACCCTTGGACTGTTTGTTGTACTTCATGCTTCCGGCAGCTAGATAGGAATTGGAACTCTGTGCAATGTTTGAAGGGCCCTACTGGAAGCCACCTTTCCATTTTTGACTAGCCCAAAAGACAGTAGTTGCCTGACAAGAACTTTGAGGGATGGACATCATGTCGGAGGACCTCTGCGAAGGCCATCGTCCCACAGCAGCTCTTTTCCACCGTCCCAAGTCCTGATCATCCACTGGTCCATTCCTTCCTGACAATCCGACGTAGACCCATCCAGGAGCAGCTTCACCAGATCGTGCCGCGGTCGAGTTGTGATCGCGTCAGCTGTGAAGGGATTTGGGAGTGTAGATCACCAGGATCAGATGCAGACTCGCACCAATAAGTTCACATGGTTTGGTACATGGAGTGCAACTAATTGGTTCCCACGGTTTGATTCACCTGGGTTTGATCTCAATTGCCTGTAATTCAAATGGTTTAAACTGCATTCTTACGCCTTGCCCATCCATGAAACCATGTGACGTGTGTTTTTCCTTTCCGGAGTCTACAACAAGAGGTGAAGATGTAGCTGCTTGGGGGTTCAAGTTGGAGTGATGGAAAGATTTCATCTGGGAATGTCTAGTCTAGCCGCCCCAACTTCGAACATCCTCTTAATGATCATCCACAACTATAAAAAAACAACAAAAAACTTTGGACCCGTCATCCAAATTGCGGAAGAAATCTGGAACATCGCTTGAAATCCATGTCAAGGCTCCAACGACCCTCCAAGCCCACCCTAAACACTCTCTCAGGAAGTCGTTTTGTTGGAGCCTGAGGGCAAGAAGACGATTTGATTTCTTGACTTGTAACCCTTTTGGGGGAGGGGGGACAGCCCACAGACATTCTATTCCCCTCCCAAAACAAACCACTCGCTTCCTCAACCACACGAAGCACCGGTCCCGGCTGCCTGTTTGTGTGGTCTCAAGACCTGGCTCTATAGCGCCTTTTCCACTGAAAACACCATGACGCAGCATGAAACCAGGCTGTATTTCGGCTGTATTCCAGTCCTTCTTTCTTCGTTCGGCTCGGCTCCGGTCATGTTACATTGGGCTTCCCCATTCATTGACACTCCGACCACCCTGCCGAGGTCCCTTATATAAGCTCACCCTGCCAAGGTCACAGACCGCCCCTGCCGGTCCACAGGCACGGTCTCTATGAAAGGCTCCATCCCCAAGCAGACTCCCTCAGACTCCTCCCCATCCTTCCTCTTTCTTCCTCTTCCCCGAATTCCCAATCCTTGCTCTCCTCGCGCTCTCCTCGCCGCTCAGGAGGCCATTCAGTCCTCGCTCTACGCCTTCGCGGCGCTCCGGCGCGACGGCCGCGTTGTCGCCTGGGGCGACCCGGCCTCCGGCGGTGACCCGGAAGTGGAAGGTGGAAGCGAACTTGGAGGGAGCGTGGAGGACGGTGGAGGCCCAGTTGGGAATGGTTTGTGGTGGAGGTGGAGTGGCCGTATAGGCCTTGATTCAATTCCCTAGCGGCAAGAAATCCAATCCTGAAGTGAAAAAAACAGGGAATCCCAAATCGCGGTCTGGACAGCAACAAGGCTCCTTATCAGCCGGGCGTTTCTCAAGCACCACCCGAATCTTGCTGAGAGAGGATACTCACAAGCCATATTCACAAACTGAGGGCATTCCCACACGAGATGATCCCAAGAAAGAATCACACCTTGATGACAAAACGGACAAGTGTCGAGGCCAGGCTGAAACCAAAGCGGGACCAACCGTAGCACCTGAAGCAGTACCGCAGAATGCAGCATTCTGCACCATGTACTTACGGGTCTCACTCAAATTAATGTGAGAAAAAGCTTGAACAAGGGAAACTTTCGAGTGATCACTCCGCAGCTGGAGAGCTTCGTGCCTTTTACAACTAAGCCACCAACCCAAACGCGTAGAAGCGAAAGGGTTCGTCTCCATCGTTCATGCTTCTCTTTCGCCCGAACAACCGTCCGATAGCCAAAAGAGAACGAGACGGTCATTGAAACACTTCCACAACTCGCTCGAGGTTCCTGACATCCCAATAGCCAAAGATCGTCGTAACACACCCACAGGCGGACCATCGCCATGCCTCACCGCTTTCATCGGAGTTGCACGGTGAACCTTTGCAAGGCGGAAGTCAAGTGTTTTTAGTGCCCCCATATGAGAACCGTGTTTTCAGCAACGCGGTTCGCAACACTGGGCCAACATTTTGGAGGATTATGGATGACTGATGGAAGTCTCTAAAATTTATTTCTATGTGTTTTGGTCTTTTAGCTCAATGATTCCTTCGGTTTCAGGTGTCCTTCCTTCCTTTCAAGGGCTATCGAAGGCTAGGGTAGATGCTATTGGTCTATTGGTGGTCAAAACTTGTCAAGCATCCTGTGAGGGAAGTGCTGCGAAAAAGAAAAGAAGAACAAACACAATTCTCGCGACATCTGATGGTCCCTTTCCATGTTGGGTCTCAGGAAGTACTAAGTTTGTTGCCCAAAGAAGAACCCTTGTTTGTCCCAAGAGTGCAAAAAAGGATAGAACATGAATCTGCGACGCAAATATCTATTGTATAACTTATTTTATCTTATGTTTGAGACTGCTTCATGTGCCGTTTTTTGCTGGAACACCCGTCCTTAGAGATGGCTTAGACTTGCGACTCGACTCCGCGCTGCCTTTCACGGAACCAAGCTCCGAGGACACCTGCAGGAGTCATTGACAGAGGTGATAGCGATCCAAGCGACCGAGAAGGCAGGGCAGCTGGGCGATCCAAGCGATCCAAAGAAGTTGGAATATGTGAGAGATTTCCTGTCATGCAGGCAATGGATGATGGAGGTACACTATTTATCATAATGTTGTATGTTCTATATCCTTTTGAACCAGAGTGGGATGAAGAAGACAGCAAACAAAGGCCCCAGTTGTGACTCAAATGGTTTGGGTATGGAACAAAGAACCAGAACAGTCCCCAACAAAGTGATCCATGTAGTAACTTAGTTTAATTAACAATACCTTCATACCTTTCACTCCACCACTACCAATTATATCTGCTTTCCTTCCAAGAAACCTCCACGTCATCCCGCCAGATCCATCAGGCCTTTGCTGCAATCAAGCGCGATGGAACAGTGGTCTGCTGGGGAGACCCTGCACGTGGAGGCGACTGTTGCCAGGTGCAGCAAGCCTTGCAACAGGCGCCTCCAGCCCTGGACGCCGCGCGACGACCGTAGCTGTCGTGGACGCCGAACCCGCGTGGCAGACGCGGCGAAGAACGCAAGACGAAGACGGCAGGGTGAAGACGGTTGGGGTGAGAAAGGCGTGTGGTTCTTGGGCCAAAAGCTGTTTTAACCAAGTGATCCAACTTAATAGCTAAAGTACAGCGCCTTGCAGCTGCAAACCTCGAATTGTTGGAGGTTTATTATGCTTGTGGAGCTTCTCTGTTGGATATCCAAGTTCATCAGATCAAACATCAGATCAAAACTCTTCTGAAGGAATCAACAAAAATTCTGCCTCCTTCGGGCAACCACACTGGAAGCTCCACATCCGCCACATCCGCCACGACGTGCTCCACGACGTGCTCCACGACGTACTCCACTCGGCCGATGGCGAACGGTCCAGGTGCGCTGCATCCAGGCTGCCACCGGCGCCTTTGCCGCCATCTGCGGCGGCGACGGCGAACGTGGCGGTCGTGTGGTCTGCTGGGGCGACGTGCAGCACGGCGGCGCACAGCACGGGGGTGAGATGCAGAATGTGATCGCCATCCAGGTGGTTGGGAGTTCTTTATTTTTTCTTGATTTGGGTCTATAAGTTTTGGAAAGGGAGGTGAGGTCTTTTCATCAAGCATGTTCAGTTCTTGTTCGAGTTATATAGATCATATTTCAATGAGCCACTTCCTGCCACCATCCACGACGTTCGTTCAGGCGACCTCCACGGCCTTTGCGGCGATCCTGGCGAACGGCCGCGTGCGGACGTGGGGCGACCGCTTCCGAGGCGGCGACAGCGGCTTGGGCGTCAGCTGGGGCGGGGAAGGTGGGTGGTGGGAAGGTGCTGGGGAATTGGGGTGACCAACACGGCACTGGGTGGGGGAATTGGGTGTGCTTCGTGTGGTGTGAGTGGTCGATCCAGATGCAGCTGAAGCGCGGTAGAGCGGGTATAACTAGCGGAAATGAGTTGGTTCGATTTATCATTTAAGGCAGTACCGCCGATTCCAAGCCTGCAAAAGGCTACAAGTCTGAAACGAAAGAACACTTGGATCTTGTGAGCCTACTTCGACTGTTCATGTTCCAGGGGAACCTCCCCAGCAGCATCCTTGTGTCCCTCCTTCAAGGCAGGACGATCAACGCGAAAGACAGGACGATCCACGGCACACATACCCAGGTCGGTGCCAGGGTGTTCACACCCTGCAGCATCAATGATGTCACACTTGAAGCATCACGAGGTCAGCGGATTAGTCGAGGGTTTCCACCAAAAGGAGACCCTGGCTTCGCCCAATGGCCATCCATCGCCATCCAGGAGCTCGGTTGCGTTCACGACCACAACGCCACGAGTGTCAAGCCGAGACTCCTGATGTTTCCAGGGAAGGAGGGAGACACGCATTTCAGGGACGACCACGTTTTCCTTCCGGAATGGACGGCATGTAAGGTTTGTCTCAACTGTCCCATTCCAGACACGGTGCAGGGACCGGCAGTGAGCCAGCGCGCCGTCTCCGCGTCTCCACCGTGCCGTCTCCTACGTCTCCACCGTCGACGTCCGGGCTTCGGACGTCCGTGCGCTTCGGACGTGTGATCCCACCGAGGCGCGTTGGTGCAGGATCAGCTGTTGGATGTGGCCTGGGCACAGGGCGCCAGCAGGGCGCCAGCGGGGTCATGTTCTGAAGAATGCGGGGCACAGTGGTCACTTTTTGGGTACTTTCTTCTGAGTAAGAGCCGTGGCCGTCGTGGTTTACCGGGAAACCTGAATGACAGAGTCAGAAAACCTCAACGGTGGCCATCGCATGACCAGGGCAGGTCAGTACGTGCCTGCGCCCATTCCGGTGTGACCAGTTACCGAAGCTAGGGGAACCCTCAGGGTGTGGTCTAAGGAAGATCGACCGTTGAAATGTGGAACTGCTCCAATGACGAGTGAACCTAGTTTATAGATGTTATTAACTAGGTGCTATGACAATTAGTTATGTCGAACAGTTATTTGCTGTTGACACTAAGCAGCATAGCAACAGAATGCACACCTTCTTTCGATATAGACATACTGCCTATGGCAAGAACCTTCAGACCCTGGATTGGATCTACAGAACCAACCAGGGAACTCTACATACAGGAACTGATGGGTTCTGGGTTGATGGATGGATTTTTTCTGCGTAGTTTTATGTATTTTTCCTGGAAAGGAGTTGTTCTCTTGGATGCTCATCGGAAACATTCAGTGTGCTGGGAAACACCTCAATTCTGACCCTTGCATACAGTCCTTGGATATGGGAGTTGGCCTGGGGAAGCCTAGAATCTGGAACTCTCTCCTCAGATTTAGTTCTTTTTTGTGGACCAAGCCCAAAGCCCAGCACTCAACTCAACAATTCTTTCGAGTCCTCCAGACCTCTATATATGATAAATATAAGTTCTGTAATTTGGAACATCAGATTTCTTGGTGGCACACATTGATGCAATTTTAGAGTTTTTTTGACCGGGAAGCTGGGCTACCCTCCTTCATCCAATTCCCTTTCAGGTGCTCTTTCTGCAGAGCACTGCGGGTGCTTTCGCCGCGCTCACGGCCGCCGGTCGGGTCGTTTGCTGGGGCGACGCCACACGCGGGGGTGAGAACAGCACCTTGGGCAATGCAGAAGTCTTGCTGGGCGGATGGTTGGCCGGGCCAGGGGTCAAGGTTGGGGATCCTCCCCAAAAAAGATGCCATGGATGTTTTGTGAGGCTTTTTGGGGGTCTATTGTAATCATTCAATGTATCGAAGATGTCTGGGACAAGACTTGGTGGCCAATTTGGGGACGTGAGCCTGACATCATCATCATCATCATCATCATCATCATCATCATCATCATCATCATCATCATCATCATCATCATC